GAGCCGCTTGGGAAGCCGGAGGCTTGCTCGCCCCTAACGCGGTGTTTTTTCCCCTTTTCTCTGCAGGTGCTGGTGCAGGAGCTGGAGCAGCACCAGGTCTGTGTGGGCTCTGATGAAATCGTTCTTCCTGCTGTAGTCAAAAGTTTCCTTTACAAGTCATTCAAGTTTCTTCCACTTTACTGTCTCAACTTTTTCCCCTGAACACACGTTGCTTTGGATGTGATCGGTTCCTCTGTAACCACTCCGTTTTCTTTTTTTTTTTTTCTTTTCTTCATATAGTTGCTTCCTAAAAGGTTGGATTGGCAAGGAAATGAGCATTATAGAAGTTACGAAGAATTGGTGAGACTTTTTTTTTTTCTTAAACTTTCAATTAGGATGATAACATCGATGTTAGACCCTTTACCTTTAAAAGTAGGCCCAAAGCTTTACCTTCCAGTTTCATTCCGGCTCTCTTAAGACATTGGAGTTATTTTGGAAAGGGCCTTTAATTTCTTTACATTAGACTACCAAAAACACAAGTGGTGTTTTAAATTGAGGATATTGTTTACATAGCAGAGGTGGAGCTTGGCGTTCTGCATTGGTAGATGCCACTGCCTACATATAGGGGAGAGCCAATCTGAGGCAAGGTTTCATTTCAGAGTTTCATGAGCAAGTTTGTTAAGCGTGTTTTGATTTGACGGTATTTATTTTCTGGTTGGCTTCCTTCATCAGTCCCCTTCAACAGATTAGGAAATGAAATCGCTGTTCAGAAATCAAGGGTTGGCAGTTCTGGTGCCTATGAGCAAGCTCTTTATCTCTGGCTACTTGCTGGTCATAGCTTTGTTTCTAAATATTAGGAAGATATGAGTGATCTCTGAACAGCGTGTGCTTTATGCCTTCTACGGCTGATGTTTTTTGCTCTAAATGTTTTAACTTATATCTGTTTCAGAATAGAAAGCTTGCTTTCTCTTGCTTTTTTATTTTACTGCTTCTTACATGGCAAAGTGTATTTGGCAGTTGAATCTTGTGTGGCCTGATGGTGCCTGAGCAGTGTGGCTTTATCCTGCTTTATTGTAGTTGATCTTGTTTTCTTCAAACAGATATTTATTCTTGCTTTCACTGCCTCCCCACCCCCCCTCTAAGATTCAGGTACTCTAGGTTAATAGACTGACTTCTTGCTTACCCATCGGTTTGTCTATTATTATAGTTAAATCCTCTGCTCTCTCTTGTGCAACACTTGAAAATCTTAGAATGATATTTGCATACAGAAGGAAAGAAATTTTGTTTAAAACATTTTCTTTAAGTGCTTCATTATTTAAGTGCTGCTTAAAATGATAAACTGGATTCCATTTCTTCTGCTTGTCAGTGTGGTCAGTTGAGCAAAAGAGGTTTTAAATTAATGCTTTAAGTCACTAAAAAGCCTAGGCTTGCTAAACAGGAATACTTTCAAGCTCTGACTTGAGTTTAGCAAACATGGAAATAGTATTAAATTTAAAATGGATTGTTTGGGGTTTTTTGGTTGGTTGGGTTTTCTTGACCTCAGTTCTGCTGGCAAAAAGTGGTGTTGGGAGATGTCACATGTGGATTCTTCTGACTACAATGCGTTTTTTTTATCTGTGTTTATTATGCATGTACAGTTGTCAGATTAATTCTTTAATATATGCTGCTTCTACCTCTTTTTCTTACACAATTTAAAATAAATCTCTACACAGGGTAATAGTGTTTCAGAATATCCAAATTAATCTTCTGAAGGTTTTAGTTTCTGCTTTTAAGGGGCTTTAGGAACCTCTTGTCCCATTGATCTTACTCTGAATTTGCAGAGACCACATGCGATCATGTGGTGCAATTATTTCTCTTCCTCTTTGTTCATCGTAGAATTGGAGCAAGATTTTAAAATGTGTTCTTTCCAAAATCTGAGTAAAACTGCTTTAAAAGGAAATGAATTGCAAGGTTTTTGTATGCATGCTTCTATCAGGGGTTGCATTTGGAACATATACTTCCTGATGATGGCATGCAAACAAAATGGTTTATAATGCTTAGTGTAAAGTATGCTGAGCTTTTTGTCCTGAATGTCATGGCTGGTACTGCTCTATACCAATTCAAGAGGAAAAATTTATAAAGAAATTATGAAAAAGTAATTTTGTAATCTTTGGACTACGAAATATATTTCTCATAATCAGCCTCAAGCGTCTGATGAGCTGATTTGCTTGGATATAGTTGACTGTGTGGTAATGTCAACTGTTTTACTGATGTTGCCACCTCCCTGCCCCCTCAGGAATGTAGCCTGTACCCCCGCAAGTTTTGTACGTTACTTGGATTTTTATTATTAAACAAGTTTTAGGTTATAGCTTAAATCATATATTCTCAATACTCAGTGTGCATTTGGACAACTTTTTGTTGAACAGATCTTACTTACATGACAGCATGTGGTATTTTTGTTCCCACTGTTCTGATGATGAGATCAGCCTTGTCAGGACTTTCCTCATCCAAGTTCTGTCAGTAGGCTAAGAGAACAGCATCATAAGCATGAGCTAGTTCTGCCTGTGTTCTGAGCTACGTGGGCAAGAGGCCACATACCTGTGTTGGTGTGGCACTGCCTCTGCTGGATGTTTTGGCTGGGAATAGTCTGGCTGCTGAAGTAGCAGTGTGGCTTCTGCATCTAACTGGTTTTCACGTGGCCAGGTCAGAGAGTTGAGTTAAGCATGGGGCTGTTTGTGCCTGCTGATTCAGGCCTCCCAAATAGTTTAGCTTTATCATTCTGATGATTTGGTTTACTTGAACCTGTGTAAACTCTACTTCGCCTATTTAACTTAGGCATTGTTGTGATTGACTTTATAGTTAGATAAGTGTTGTGTTTTTTTTTTTATTGAACTCTCAGAAAGGAGAGATTGAAAAATAATCAAAAACCACACACAGCTGTTCTTGACTGCGACATCTTGAGTGATGTGGGGGTGTATTTTTTTAGATTGTTAGATGTAGATAGTATGGGATCTTTCCTGAATGAATGGATGACTGTTTTGATCCTTTTGGTTTAAGGAAGTAGGGCAGTCTTATGCTATGTAGTACTGGTTCTTCAAGGAAACTGTTTCCAGAGAGATTGTATTCCAACCTACTACTTTGCAGTTTGCTGAACAAGTACTGTGCGACTGAAGTACTAGCTGCATAAATTCTTGTGCTTGATTGCAACAAAATTCTCCGTGATCTTGAGTTATGAGGGTTTGAATTTTATTTTTAATGAAAATAATTGAGTCACTTGGGCTAAGACACTCATCGTAGGGTGCCACACAGATGCGTGCCATACGTGTGAATATTGCAGACTTTCAGTAGTAAAATACTGATGTCCAGTAAGTAATTTTACTGCAGTTATTTTTACTACAGCTCTCCTGTTCTTGGAGAGCACTCGCTGAATTTACTAGATCAGAGCTTAACAGAATTGATATTGTTTTGTAAGTGAACTTAAAAATACTTAAACAACCTTTAATAAACCAGTGAATCTTGATGCTTTTAAATTCTTCTGTTCTGCATGTACCATACATATATTTTCAAAACTTCAATTTTTGTCAGGTGCTGTCCAACAAACATGTGGCTCCAGACCATTTGTTACAAATTTGCAAGCGCATTGGCCCTATCCTGGATAAGGAGATACCACCCAGCATTTCGAGAGTGAATTCCTTACTTGGTGCAGGGAGACAGTCATTGTTACGTACAGCAAAAGGTATGGTTCGTTTCCTATTATTTGAAATGGGTATGATACATTTTTATAAGTGTATGGTGGAGACTTTTGGAATACTTAAAAGCGGTGAGCTTTTGCCGAAATTGACCCCCTTTTCTTCTGTACTGTCTTTAATCAACCAAAACAGCAGTGATCCGTGTATTAATGGCATAACTATATATTGGTTGTTGTGAAGAGGTTTTAAGTTGCATCACAGGAATTATTGTTTCTGAGTGCTGAGGCTGCTGAACATGGCCAGTTTTCAGTGTTACTGGAATATAATGAATCATCAGGACATAGGTGCTACTTCTCTACCATCTCCCAACACTCAGTGCAAACGTGAGACAGTAAGACCAGTTTCCTGAAACTTTTCTTGGTTAATGCAGATGGCATCAAAATTAGTACTTGTGAGTTCTGTACATAGCAGGAAGAAAGTCCTTTCCTGTAACTTAAAGAGAATGATGGGCAATGCATGAGCACATGCTTTATTTGATAGAGTTGATCTTTGCTTTAGACTTCTCTCTTTGAAATTTTCTGGGAGGGAGGTGTTCATGTGTTTGTGTGAAGTTCTGTTGAGCAGCTATATGCTGTGATGTGGGACTGGTTTATGGGATACTGTTGTGTTTCTAGTTATCTGTTCTATGTGCTTTGAAGGATGCACACTGAATGCCAGTGTTCTGTCCTGAAAATCAGGATTGCAAAATCAGGGTTTGCAATTGACACGCTCGCGATGTGTCAAAATAACTGTCAGTATGGGAATTTTTTTAAGAATCATGGAATTGTCAGGTTGGAAGGGACCTCTTGAGATCATCTGGTTAAATAATTTCATACTAATAAATATTTATAATAATTATGGATATATATTCATGAAAATGTTAAAAATCTTAAATGCACTGAGAAAGCATGACAAATTCAGTTGAAAAGTTAATTTTGTGTTGCGGAAACTGCAGGGGCATCACCATTTAGGAGTAATTCCAAAGTTTGGTGGTTGGTTGTGTTGTACTTTTTTTTCCTCCTGCTGTTACTATATTAAACAGATTTTTCTCTCCTCTGATGCTATACTGTTCATGAAAAGTTTTCAGGCGTTTGGTGTTCCTGGTTTTTTAGTTGTTTCGTTTACAGTGTTTGAGACCACCTGTAGATACGTTTTTTACCATGTTTTGGAACTGCATTGGTGTTTTTGACATGTACTTATGACAAGCTTCAACCAGTTGGTTTTAAAGATTGCAGGAACACTGTTTGGAAGGGCTCTGCGTTTGCTGCTCTTCATAGAGGAAGACCTCCTGAAATTCCTGTGAACTATGGCACACCACCAAATCTTGGTAAGCTCTTTTCAACATTCATCACTGCCACTATGAGCGTAAAATGTGTCTCTCGATATTGGCCTTGCTATGACGCTGGAAACTGCACCACAGAGCTGCATCTGGAGGCTTATCTGGAGAGCTTCATATGACTGCACTGGAGTTATGTATTGGGTACAAAGGTCTGCTTATAGCACTAGTGAGACAGTAGCCTCCAGATGACCTCTTTTTCTTCTATAAAGCCCCCTGTATTAAGTCGATAAACGTACAGAAAATACAAATCATTCTGCTTTAGACAGACTCTTGTATGATTTGAAGTATAGAAAGCCATAGAAAATAAAGTTAACATTTAACACTTCTAATTTAGACATTGAAGTTTTGATTGGAGCCAGTGTAAAACACTGTCTTGGTTTTATACATAGAAAAAATTGCAAACACAAAAAAAAACTGACCTTATGAAACCTGAAAGTCACTTTTAGTAAGTCCTAAAGTAATATACTGATGGAAGTTAAATAAACTGGTGTTTTAGAATAGACCTGTTTTAAACATCAATACATTCATTCTTTGATTTCCTTGTGTTCTAGTGGAAGTACATCGAGCAAAACAATTAACAGGGTATGCAAAGTTCAGTACTTCATTTCCAGGAAGTATGTATCAGCATATCAAGATGCACAGACGGATTCTTGGCCATCTTTCTTCCGTATATTGTGTTGCGTTCGATAGGACTGGACACAGAATTTTTACTGTGAGTTGATGAAATAGATCCATATCTGAATATAGTTCTAGATGGATGCAAGGAAAAGAACTTTGAAATGCATGTTATGCCAAAACTTCTGGAGGTGGATATTGGTGCTTAAGTAGAACAATTTGATGTAATTAAAGGTCAGAAGCATGTAAGAAATTGTTATACTTAGTATCTGATCAGGTGTTGACATTGATGTAGGAGTTTTATTCAGTGATGTAGTTTGATGTTAAGCATGTTTCATGTTCTTTATGAAGTGGCAGAGGAGAAACTGCTTTTACAGAACAGTACTTTCATTGGCCCTTGCCATTACAGTAAGGAATCCCCTCAAACTTACTCCAGACTTTTTGCATTATATGGTATAGACCTGTGGTGATTGCAGTGTAATCCTGAACCATAAGTGAATGTTTTGGATTTTTTTAATATTGGTCGTATGACTTTATTTCATTCAGCTTAAGTAGCATATGTATTTTTAAATAAAAGTGTAATTTGCTAAGCTGTGGAAAAACATAGTTAGGTTCTTTAAAGGAAAGCTACAACCTTTATCCTGAATGTCTTTGAAAATCTTTGCTGAACATAATAAATATTTCTTTCCAGGGCTCAGATGACTGTTTGGTAAAGATTTGGTCAACTCATAATGGCAGGTTATTTGCCACGTTACGAGGACATTCAGCAGAGATTTCCGATATGGCTGTCAATTATGAAAACACTATGATTGCAGCTGGCAGCTGTGATAAAATGATCAGAGTGTGGTGTCTGAGAACTTGTGCACCAGTTGCAGTCCTCCATGGACACACAGGGTCCATTACCTCGTTACAGGTATGTTGTTTTGTTGGGGTTTTTTTAAGTGTTTTTACATAATGAAGCACAAATAATGTGGATGGGTTGTAAGAAGCAGCCAGTCCACACAACTCACAAGTTTCGCTTGACAGCATGGTATGGAAATTTGAAGGTGCTGTAATCAAATAATAGAAAACAAGAAATAATTTGGAAAAAAAAAAAAAGATGCTGTTGCACCTGATCTGAAAAGTTAAGAGTCGGCTTTAGTAGTAGGATTTAGATTGATGGGATACCCTAAGAATAGCTAGGTAGGAAATAGCCAGTTTCCTTGGTTGCTTATTGAAAGTGAGAAACACAGTTACATGAGTGCTCTACACCAATAGAGCCTTCTATCTGTGTTTTAACTTTGTGATAGTCCTTTGGATTCAGTCTCGTTTTTGCCTTTGTAATTCCTTGTTTAACAGGTAAACCAGTAGCTCATTATCCAGATTTGCTGTGTTTGCCAGTGAGACAAACAGACTTATGTTGACGGGTGAAGGATGGCTACCTGCCAGCTTGTGAAGTTCAATAAAAAAAGTGATTTTTGCAGTTTTCTCAAAAATGCTGCCTCCGAGAGTAATCTTCATATTTGCAAAGTTTCTGTGGCATTCATTGCATTTTTTTGTTTGTTTTTTTAATGGCAAAGCACTTACTAGTGGTGTTTCTTTTACTGTAGTACAGTGGATTTTTTTTTTGTTTAATCGTGCTTAATAATACTATAATTGCAATTATATACATATCTTAATAATATGCATGTTTATAATCCATGTCTTAAAGAAGTATGTATGAGGACCTACTATAAATTCATATGTGATGCTGGGTTACACATACTTAGAACTGATGCTCTGCTTAATTATAGAATTTAAAAAGTAAGCCTGTGTAGTGAAACTTCCTTCCATTTTTTTTTTTTCTTTTCAGTCTGCTCTGCTCGTTACTTCATTCATTGACAAAATTCTCAGTGAATGATTGTGGTTAGTTAAGACTTCAAAAACAAAACAGTGAATGATTGTGGTTAGTTAAGACTTCAAAAACAAAACAGTGAATGAATTGGTTTTATGTAATGCACTAATTGAAATATCAACCACAAACTTATATTTTAAAATATAAGAGATGTTGTTTTGTAAACATGAAAAATGACTGTTATCAACAATGCTTTAGCAGTTTTAGTTGAAAAATCCAAAGTAAGACAAGGTTAAAACATAATGTTTTTGGAAGTTCATAACCAGTTTTTAAATCTCTCTTTTTATGTGTGTCTGATTTTACTTTCTTCTCTTTAGTTTAGTCCAATGGTGAAAGGCTCCATGCGATACATGGTCTCTACTGGTGCAGATGGAACTGTTTGCTTTTGGCAATGGGATACAGATTCCATGAAATTCAAGTACGTAGATGGATTGCTGATTAGCTCTATGCTATGCTATGCTTGATTAAAATAAGTTGAGTGCTTTTAATTAGCTAAAAAAGTTTGGTTTTTTTTGCGATAATAAAATGTTGTGGAAATAATCTATTTTGTAGTTATTTTAAAGCACTATCATTAACTATATCCTTTACAAATGTATGTTATTCTTTTATCCTGGGAGGTAAGTTGGGAAATGTATTAACTTCTTACTACAGTAAAAGTACGAATGTAGCACAACTCAAATTGCTGCAAGCATAAATATGTTGGAACAGTATAATAAAAGTTTTTGGTTTATGTTGAGTTTTCAACAGTCCTGTAGTTTTAAGATATCTCTTACAGAACTTCCATACAGAGTATGTTCAGGATAGTTGTTAAACATTGTGTGTGTGTTTGCTGTTTATCTGTACAAAAAAACCCCCTAAATTATTACCAGAAAGAAGAGACCTGGGATGATCAGTCTGTGTCTAGTGTTGTGCTGTATAATGGTAGTTGGTATAATATGATCCATTTTACATTAGAGCAGCTATTAAAAAAAAATAAAAATCAGTACTTTAGAAAGCAGAAGGTCGTTTTGCATTTGAATTCAAACGTGTGATCTTAAGGTAGTAGAATCGTAGCAAAAGCTTTCAAAGGCATAGTTTCATCTGAAGAATCTTTTAGTGATGTAAGCTACAGGAGGAGAGTGTTACTGAATCCTTAATTATTCTCCTTCTAAAAATAATTTGGAGAACTATCTGAGATGTAAACACTGTTTAGATTAGTTTAAGCATGGACGTAAATTGGTTTAAGCATTGGTACGTCTCAAAGCAGCATTCTTAGGGTTTGAATCTCTGTACTGTGTATCATACAAACATGAGAAATATTCTTATACTGAAAGTCTCAACATTTCCTTTGATAAACAGAAAACACTTGAGCAGAAAAGCAGTAGAACAATGCTTGTAAGTGGCACAGTTTGCTGGGTTTCTTCTTGATGTAGATCTTAGTAGGTACTTTCTGTGAGATTATGGCCATGTCAACTGGAAGAGTGTATACATGGCTTGCCGAACAGGAAGCCAGTCTTCTAAATCACTATGTGCACAGTGTTGCAGAAGTTTATTTACTTCTGTAAAATTGTATGATTTTGCACAGCTTTCTGCAGTAATGGTATTTGGTAGACCTTATTTCATGTACCGTTGGGTTGTAATGTGAGGGCAAGAGTTCAGTACTTCGTGGATATGTTATTGAGGGGGTAAATCATACTTACTGAAGGATGAGGGAGAATAAGTGTTCTTTGATGTGTCATGTTATCCTTGCTAGGTAGTAGCATCTTGCAGAAAAAGTCATAAGCTGTGTGGGCTTCAAATATCATTTGTATATGTGTGCACAGTAATATTGAAAAGTAAACCTTATTGCTCATCCTCCTGCACAAGGCTTACAGATGTTACTGTATGTATTTAAGAAGTACCTGTTACTTAGATGTTTGAAGAAACATACCTTTATGTTTTAGAATGTTGATAAAAGCCAAGTTTTGTGTGGCATCTTTTCTTTCTAAGCAATCGGCCAGTGAAATTCACAGAGAAGCCTAGACCAGGGGTTCAGATGCTTTGTTCTTCATTCAGTGTAGGTAAGTCATGCACAAATTGAGTTTAGTGTTGTGATTTCTCTTCTTTTCTCATAGTTATTACAATACTCTGGCTATGGCAGCTTTAAGATACACAACAGTAGTAGCTGTGTAGCAAGTGATTGTATTTGTGCGTGTTGTTACCCTATGACGTAATTAAATAATGTGACTTGCCTTAGCTAACAGTGAAAGACTGTTGAACTAAGCGATACAATTTTTCTTTTGCCATTGGTGATTTACAGAAGCAAAAGTCACCTGATGCTTGTTTACTTTTTATCCATCTTTACTGAATTTTTATTTTTGCTTAACCCCTCAGTAAAATGCCAGGGATTTGCAAAATTCGTTAACCACAGTTAACAACAGTGGCAGTGGTTACTGCTAATAGTAAGAGCTTCTGATTCTGCACCAGCTTTATGCAGGGATAGTGATAAAGATTCCTTCTTTCTTGAGAATCCATAAATGTATCTATAAATGTGCTTCACTCCTGGCTTGTAATTGTCTTTAATTCTAATTATAGGTGTGACTATAAGGCTAGTGGGAAGCTCCTTCGTACTAGACAGCATGAACATTAGAAGAAACTTGGGAATTTCAGAAACAGAATACAAATCAAAAGTGTAGCTTGTTAACGTCATCAGGATATAGTCCTGGGCTGTGTTTGGATTTGGGGGTTTTGTTTGTTTGTTTGGGGTTTTTTTTGACAGCCCTTACAGGTGTCAAGAGACAGATCTTAATATTGCTGCCACCACAGGTAAATATTGGTGTACTTACACTGGTTTACTTATACTTGTACCCAGCTTTGAAGCAATTCACGTGCCACAAATGAGAGATGCTACAGTGAAAGAGTCAGCTAGATAATTCTAGTGATGACTAGACATATTCCTCATAATAGAAGACTTCTGTGTACAATTATTAGTGTTAGATGCTTCAGTGTTCCCCCTGTTATGTATTTTTAAATCTTTGTAACACTGAGTATGACTGTTTATTTTTACTATGGCTGAGAGAGCTTTCTGGAGCAAGAGAGGGATCTCCTTCCACATCTATATGTCAGTGGCAGAGCTTAAAAAATGTGACACTGTCGGATTCTTTTTTTTTTTTAACTAGGAGAAATATTGGTGATCTGTTTTAATTTCTTGTACAGTAGCTTAATTATCACTTGACTTTTTACAGGTGGTATGTTTTTAGCAACTGGCAGCACTGACCATGTCATCAGGATGTATTTTTTTGGCTCTGAAACACCAGAGAAAATAGCTGAGTTGGAAAGTCATGCTGTAAGTAAGATTGTTAAATCTAATAACTTGCAACTTCAGTACTGCTTTAGGTGACAAGTTAATGTTGTTAGTGGGTTTGTAGCAATGTTCTTTTATTGAATATTTTTGGAACTTAGGCAGAATTTCAGCCAATCATCTCAGTGTGACCTGACAACTTTAAGGGCTGGAATGTATCAAGACGATATTTAGAATTCTGTCTTTTCAACTGGATGTCATGTGTTTCTCTTAATTTTAAAGTGTGTGGTTTGCTCGGTTGCTTCCCTCTGATGCAAGTGCTCCTAGCCACCCACATACTACATGCTGTGTACAGGAAGGAGATAGGCTGAGAATGTGGATTTCATTACTCAAGTTATTTACCGCTTGACACTACCTATGTTAAATCTTCAAATGGGATTGAATTTCCAGAATTTCACTTCTGTTCATCTTGACCTTTACGCACTTGTACAGTGGCTGTGCAAGCTGCTTTATACTTCTGAAGTAGTAAGTCAGCTTGCTGCTTTAGCATTGTTTCGCTGTGTGCTTTATATAATGTGTGTCTACTTGCTTTCTAGGTATAACTGATATTTTTTAGGAAAAGAACTTCTTAGATAAAATACTCTCTCATTTTTTATTTGTGTACCTTAGTCCAGTGGACTCTTGTTTTAGAATCATAGAGTGGTTTGAGTTGGAAGGGACCTCAAAGATCATCTAGTTCCAGCCCCCTCACCATGGGCAGGGAAACCCTCCACTACACCAGGTTGCCCAAAGCCTCATCCAGCCTGGCCTTGAACACTTCCAGGGATGGGGCGTCTACAACTTCTCTGGGCAACCTGTTCCAGTGCCTCACCACCCTCAGAGTGAAAAATTTTTTCCTTGTATCTAATCTAAATCTCTCCTCTTTCAGTTTCAAGCTGTTTCCCCTTGTCCTATCGCTACATATGACCTTGTAGAAAGTCCCTTTCCAGCTTTCCTGTAGGCAGCCCACTTTAAGTACTGGAAGACTGCTATAAGATCACCCCGGAGCCTTCTCTTCTCCAGGCTGAACAGCCCCAACTCTCTCAGCCTGTCTTCATAGCAGAGGTGCTCCAGCCCTTGGATCATCTTCGTGGCCCTCCTCTGGACTCGCTCCAGCAGCTCCATGTCCTTCTTGTGCTGGAGACTCCAGAGCTGAACGCAGTATTCCAGGCGGGGTCTCACAAGAACAGAGTAGAGGGGCAGAATCACCTCCCTCGACCTGCTGGCCACACTCCTTTTGATGCAGCCCAGGATACGATTGGCTTTCTGGGCTGCCAGTGCACATTGCCGGCTCATGTTGAGCTTCTCATCCACCAGCACTCCCAAGTCCTTTTCCTCAGGGCTGCTCTCAATCCATTCTCCGCCCAGCCTATACTTGTGCATGGGATTGCCCCGACCCACGTGCAGGACCTTGCACTTGGCCTTGTTGAACTTCATTAGGTTAAGGAATCTAAGGGAAACTTGGCTTACTTTCATGTGCTGAAGGTCAAGTCATTCTTTTTCAGCACTTGATGCATGAAGAATCTGTAGTTTTACTATAGAGAATTTAGATTTAGTTGAACTCTTAAAGCTCTTTCAAGTGAAGCTCTTGGAATACTCATCCTCTTTTTTTTTATTTGCCTTAATATGTTTTCTCTAATACTGAATCTGACTTTAACCATGTATTTTATAGTGATGAGGCTTGATCGATACGTATTTTCTATATAGAGAAGACTTCCAGCTCTGAAGATAAACTGATCTTAGTATGGTATCTACTTTTCCTGTAGTTTTTATAAAAATAAAACTACAAGATTGAATAACTAAAGGAATGTGTCGGTAAGAGTGGAAACAACAGGTTCCTCTTGATTGTAGTTGGCTTAGGATATTGAAAACATATATTGAAATATGAGTTAATTGGCTGCCAAGTAATTAATGGACAGTTATTTCATCTGCGAATCCTTCATATTTAATTGGGATTTTTTAAAAAACTTACATTTTAAATGCATTAATAGTTAGTGATTTCTAGTAAGTATTTGTGGGACTTGGTTCACCTTGCAATTAAAATCATTAGAAATTATACAACATGCAGCTTTTTCCATTGTTTCAAGTTTTACTAAACTCAGATTTGTCAAAAGCATATTTCCTGTTTAAAAATATAATTTCTAACAAACTCTACTTTTTCTTGCAGGACAAAGTTGACAGCATTCAGTTTTCTAACAATGGTGATAGGTATGTTGAAGGTTGCTCAAATGTGAAAAGAGTATGTTATTTTGGAATTAAGAATGTGTTATTGTTCTCACCTGCAGATTTCCAGTAAGAAAATTCTGCTTATTTAGAACTCAAAGGAGAAATACAGACTAATCTAGGAGAGCATAAGTTAATTTTTAGCTGTCTGTCTCAGCTGTTAATCCCTATTAAATGATATCTTTGAACTGGCTGGATTTGTATTTAGCTAGAGGAATACTACCGGTTTTTAACATAGCCAGTGTATTCATGGCTTTGTAAACCTCCTCTTCCCCCTCCTTTACTTTCAATTTCAGCAAGTATTGGATCAAAATAGGAAATGGGAAAATGCAATGCAAATGGTTTAAAATAAGTTTTGGGTTTTTTTTTCCTCTAAGGAAATAAATTTAGCAAAATTTTACGGTCGATTTGGGGGGAGGAAGGGAAGCGTTGTGTAAGTTCTATTTGTAAAACTTCACCCATACTTCTAGTACAGAATGGAATCAAAATTGATCTCTGGCCTATCATTAATGAAGATGTGGATTTTAACCTTCAGAGCAGACTTACATCTGCAACCATGAGTTGCAGCTTTATTTTTATGGGTTTTTTTTCTCTTCTTGAAAGCCAAGTAACTGTGATTAAGAACGCTAATAATCTACATTCCGTTTGGAAGTTGTAGTTGTCTTTTAAATGGGTTTCTCTGCAATTATACTTGTCTTCAAGGCCATCATGTTGCAATATTCCGTACGTGTTGCCTGCATGGATTACTTTTCAAGGCAGTACGGGGAAAAAAAAAATGCAAAACTTGTGCTGTTTTGCTTGGTGACACTTTCTATGGAAGATGTTTAAGATTTATAGTTATTATTAAAATGAATCATAGCAAATTAGAGCACAGTCATAATACAGCTAGCATGTAAACTTTTCTGTGGGAGGTGTGTCAGCTCTCTCTCAGGGTTGTGATTCATGGACTAGAGAGATTACCTTTCGATGTGTTAAAATGTTTCAGTTCCTTTCTTCAGGAATTTTCATTCTCCTGTATTGATAGTTCAGCAGTTCATGAAATGGAAGCCTGAACTGCTGTGGTTTGTGCCCTGGTATCCTAAAGTAAACCACTGGTGGTCTTCTCTTTTATGCACAGTTGTGGGGTGGAAACATCTCGGGGCTTGCTGTGCTGATCTGTTCTTGCCTTCACTTCAGTATCTGATACTGTGTAGTTTCAGAATGGGTTATTTAAAATACTTCATTAAAGTATTGTAATTGAGAAGGAGTTGAAGATGAAGTTGTGAATTGCGTCGTGGTTTTGCCCAGCCGGCAACTAAAGGCCACACAGCGGCTCCCTCACCTTCGCCCATCCCTGGGGATGGGGAAGAGAATTAAAGGGGAAAAGGGAGAGACACCTGTGGGTTGAAATAAGAACAATTTAATATTATTACTATTAATATATGAATATATACATATGTATAATGATAACAACATACAAACAAGTGATGCACAGTGTAATTGCTCACCACTTGGTGACCAAGACCTGTCCCTTCCCAGACTAATGATCCTGAAATAGATAAGTCCTGACGCCACAATCCCGGATGAGCAAGAGGCCCAAAAAAGAGAATGAGAGAGAGAGAGCACTCCAGAGTGAGAGCTCCCGGAAGAGCAAAGGCTCTTCTTTCTGCTTAACCCTCATCTTACACTGGGCATGATGCTGCATGATATGGAATACTCCATTGGCCAATTTGGCCCTCAATCCTAAGTCTAAGTTCAAATCATAAGGGGGGTTGTGGCCCCTTTGTCCCGGCCATGCTCCCCCCCAGCCTGTTGTGCTCCTGCACACTGGCAGCAACATGAGAAGCTGAAAAGTCATTGATGTTTCAGTGCCAACTATAAACATCAGTGTGCTATCAGCGTTCTTCTCATAGTGAATCCCAGACTAAAACCAGAACACAGAGCTCTTCTAGCTGCCAAAAAGAACAACTAACTGTCCCAGATGGAACCAGAGCAAATGAGTTTAACTTTGGAACTTGCTTCTCTCTTCTGTGTGTTTCGGCAACTTTATTAAGTTTTTCAGTTCAGAAAAACTCTCTTTCCTGGGCTTCTGGAAAGAAAATTAATAGACAGGTAACTGTAAAGCATTCTCTTGCACGCAAATTGAAGTTTTCACTTCTATCAGTCTTTCATTGTAGTGTTCTACATTGAGGTGGTGTGTAACTCTGAATATGCTTTAAAGCACGTTCTTTTGAAGATTAATTAATTGTCTTTTAAAATTTCTTCAAGGTTCATAAGTGGCAGTAGAGATGGAACAGCTCGAATCTGGCGTTTTGAGCAAGCAGAATGGAGGAGTATTTTGTTGGATATGTCCGATAAATTACCAGGGTAGGTGAAGTATTGACTTTTTTTTCACCTGTTGTGTAAAGTCCGAAAGTTTGAAAAACTCTTCAGGCACACTTACTGACAGTCAGACTAGGGCAAGCCTTAGCAATATTATGATCAAGTGGTTTGCTCTTTATGGGGCGTGCAATGAGTGTCTGGTGGTATAGTAACTTGTTAAATTTTAGTCTGCTTGAATCAATGCATAATAAATATTTGTATAGGTTTCAAACATACATTGTGCCAAATTAATTACAATTCCTTTGTTAAGGAAAAAGGTTAACAGAAAATGCAGTAGATCTTCTCTATCTGGATTTTAATCAGACACCTGACATGTCACAGGAGAAACATTTTCTAGATTAGTAAAAATAAGGTAGATAATAACCTCTTTCCAGGAGAGGTCATCACAGTTAATAGGTGGGTTTTATCAAAGACTGATCTTGCTGACTATTTTTATTGATTCTTTCGTGCTTTTTTAGAAGTGTATTAATGAAATGTGCTGGTGACACACAGTTTGAATAGTGTCATTACAGATGAAGATCAGGGTATTACATGGCACTGGTTAAACCTGAAGGGTGGATGATTTGCAGTAGTACAGAATGCTCAGTCAGTGACACGAAGCATTGCAGGTGATTAAATGCAGGGAGGAACAAACACAAAAAACAAACCTTGGGTATACTAGTTGATTGGACGGTGATTGCAAGCTCTTCTTGTGATGCAGCCATGAAAAAAATGTTATTTTCCTAAGAAAGGAGGAGGTATTAATATTTGAGATTTGACTGTGATATCTTTCTGGGTTAATGTGTACAATTATAGTTGTGTATAATTGAGAGAGACCTTTTATAAGAGGCTACTAGTTCATAGAATCATAGAATGGTTTGGGTTGGAAGGGATCTTAAAGATCATCTAATTGCAACTCCCCTGCCATGGCCAGGGACACCTTCCACTAGATCAAGTTTCTCAAAGCCTCATCCAACCTGGCCTTGAACACCTCCAGGGTTGGGATATCCACAACTTCTCTGGGCAGCCTGTTCCAGTATTTCACCACTGGCATTGTAAAAAATGTCTTCCTTGTATCTAATCAAAATCTGCCCTCTTTCAATTTAAAGCCATTGCCCCTTGTCGTATCGCTACACGTCCTTGTAAAAAATCCCTCTCCAGCTTTCTTGTAGGCCCCCTTTGTGTACTGGAAGGCTGCTAGAAGGTCTCTGTGGAGCCTTCTCTTCTCCAGGTTGAACAGCCCCAACTCTCTGAGCCTGTCTTCACAGGAGAGGTGCTCCCGCCCTCAGATCACCTTTGTGGCCCTCCTCTGGACTTGCTCCAACAACTCCATGGCCTGCTTATGTTGAGGGCCTCAGAGCTGGACACAGTACTCGAGGTGGGGTCTCAGAGGGGCAGAATCACTTCCCTTGACCTGCTGGCCACGCTTCTTTTGATGCAGCCCAGGATACAGTTGGCTTTCTGGGCTGCCAGCGCACATTGCTGAATTGAATTGAGCTTCTCATCAATCAGCACCCTTAAGTTCTTCTCTTCAGGGCGGCTCTCAATCTGTTCTCCACCCAGCCTGTACTTGTGCGTGGGATTGCCCTGACCCATGTGCAGGACCTTGCACTTGGCCTTGTTGAACTTCATGAGGTTCACACAAGCCCACCTTTCTAGCCTGTGAAGGTCCCTCTGGATGGCATCCCTTCCCTCCAGCATGTCCACAACACCACACAGCTTGGTGTCATCTGCAAACTTGCTGAGGGTGCACTCGATCCCACTGTCTATGTTGCCAACAAAGACTTTAAACAGCTCCTGCCCCAATACTGACCTCTGAGGAACACCACTCATCACTGGTCTCCACTTGAACATTGAGCCACTGACTGCAACTCTCTCAGTGCGACCATCCAGCCAATTTCTTATCCACCGAGTGGTCCATCCGTCAAATCCATGTCTCTCCAGTTTACAGACAAGGATGTCATGTGGGACAGTGTCAAATGCTTTGCACAAGTCCAAGTGGATGACATCAGTTGCTCTTCCTTTATCCACCAGAGCTGTAACCCCATTGTAGAAGGCCACCAAATCAGTCAGGAGGATTTGCCCTTAGTGAAGCCATGCTGGCTGTCACCAGTCATCTCCTCATTGTCCATGTGCCTTAGCATCGTTTCCAGGAGGATCTGCTCCATTATCTTGCCACGCAAAGGAGAGAGACTGACTGCTCTGTAGTTCCCTGAGTACCTCAGCCTTCTCCATATCCCAGGTAACCACATGTTCCAGTGCCTTCTAGAGAGGACTCACATTCTTCCTAGTCCTCCTTTTATCACTGACAGACCTATAGAAGCTTTTCTTGTTGCCGTTAATGTCCCAAATTTAATTCCATCAGGGCTTTAGCTTTCCTAACCAGATCCCTGCTGCTCGGACAGTTTCTCTGTATTCCTCCCAGGCTACTTGTCCTTGCTTCTCCCCTGTCGGCTTCCTTCTTGTGTTTCAGTTTGTCCAGGACTTCCTTGTTCATCCATACAGGCCTCTTGATATTTTTTTCCTGACTTCTTCTTTGCTGGGATACACTGCCTCTGAGCTTGGAGGAGGTGATCCTTGAATATTAACCAGCTTTCTTGGGCCCCTCTTCCCTCCAGGGCTTCATCCCATGGTACTTGACGAAGCAGATCTCTGAAGAGGCTGAAGTCCTCTTTCCTGAAGTTCAGGGCAGTGAGCTTGCTGAGCACCCTCCTCACTGCCCTGAGGATCTTGAACTCCATTTCATGGTCACTACAGCCAAGGCTGCCCTTGAGCTTCACATTCCCCACCAGCCCCACCTTTTTGGTGAGAACAAGGTCCAGCATAGCACCTCTCCTTGTTGTTTGCTCTAGCACTTGGAGAAGAAAGTTATCATCAATGCATTCCAGGAACCTCCAGGACTGCTTATATCCTGCTTTGTTGTCCCTCCAACAGATATTGGGGTGGCTGAAGTTCCCCATGAGAACCAGGGCTCGTGAACGTGAGTCTGCTCCTGTCTATCTGTAGAAGGCCTCATCTGCTTAGTGCTCCTGGTCAGGTGGCCTGTAGCAGACCCCCACTCTAATGTCACCTGTCCCTGCCCTTCCTTTAATCCTGACCCATAAGCTCTTAGTTGGCTCCTCATCCATCCCCAGGCAGAGCTCCATGCACTCCAGCTGGTCCTTGACATAGAGGGCGACACATCCTCCTCGTCACCCCTGCTTGTCCTTCCTAAAGAGCCTATATCTTTCCATTCTGACACTCCAGTCATAGGATTCATCCCACCACGTCTCCATGATGCCAATAAGATCATAGCCCTGTTGATATGGAATATAGATAATATTGCGTGAAGGTATGTTTCAGAGACAGCCAGTTCCTTCAGTTTACTAAGATGCTGAGAGGGAGTGTTACGGTATCCTATAAATGCTTTTTGGGGAGAGAAACAAGGAAATAGACAAGAGGTTAATGCAAAATCTTATCTTTCATATGTTTATGTTGGGAATCGGAAAAAAATGCGTAGTAAATGTAGAGGTTAGATTCTGAAACAGAGTTAATTGGAAAACTCTTGACTTTTAAAAGTCTGAATTTTTAAAGGAATTATGTTAGGACTCTAATTGTAGAAGAGGCAAGACTCCAGGGAAAAGGAAAGCCTTTTTGCCTTGCATCTCAAATGGAAGGAGGTTATCATGCCTTATGGAATAGGTATGCTAGAAATCCAGATTTGCTTTATAGTTGATTGCTCCAAAAAGTTTCAAAACATATTTCTTAACTTGCTTTCCCTTGTCTGATTATTAACATGGGAATACAGGTTATTTTTCTATATTTCAAAATTGAAATGAGCTAATTAAAATATCTCATGCCTGGTCAACTCTTTAAAATAGTGACACATGTTCAGAAGAAGACAAATTTATGAAGCCTAAAGTAACCATGATAGCTTGGAACCAAAATGATAACTATGTTGTTACGGCTGTGAATAATCATCTGCTCAAAGTTTGGAATTCCAGTACAGGACAATTGCTTCATGACTTGGTGGTACGTAGTTTTACTTGGTTTTTGAAGTAGATGATCTTCCTAGAATTACAATGGCTTGCGCATGCTGAGTTTATAACTAGATCTGATTTGTCTTGAAAGCTCTGTATGAATGATAAAGCAAGGGTAGTGTTTCTTGGATTATTTTTTTTAACCAAAACTAGCTGCTTCCGCCTGCTTTTCAACAATGCTTTCCCTAGCTGCTGTGTTTAACTTGCCTCGCCCATGGAATAAATAAAAGTTTTTATGCAGTAACACACTTGTCTGTTGAGTCGTTCGCTGTCTTTTGGGAGAAGCGCCGTATTTCTAGAGTTCTTGCTTGAATATAGAAAATTATTAAATTTAGAATGATAAAGTCTTTCTGGCTGCCTCTGGCTTGCCCTTCTTATGTGCCACAGCTAGCAGTTCAGGTAAATAGATTGTGGAATTTGTAAAAGTTCATATATTTTTGGAGGCAGCTTGTAGGTGTCTAATTTTCCAAAAGTCTGAGTGTGACAAGAGGATAGTACAGTGCTTTAGACTCTACTGTAAATGCTGTTGATGTGTATTTATGTCCTCTTGTTTGCACATGATGTGCAATTTTAAATTCCAGGGGCATGCAGATGAAGTATTTGTCTTGGAGACCCATCCTTTTGATTCCAGGATAATGCTGTCTGCGGGTCATGACGGCAACATCTTTATATGGGACATTACCAAAGGCACAAAAACAAAGCATTATTTTAACATGGTAAGACCTTTTTTAAATTCCTTTTTTTCTCAAAACACAGCAGTGTAGTCGCATACTAGTTTAAGGAATTGTCACGAACACGCACACCCTCTGCACCTTTTGTGGGGAAAAAAACCCAACCAACCAAACAAAAAACACCCCAAAAGAAACAACCAACCAAAACTGAGCAAAAAAAAACCCCAACAAACCAGTAAAATTTGAGTTTTGTTTTTTTTCTCTATAGAGCTTTTACCTTTTGATTTCTTGGTTGTTGTAACTGTAGGTGCAAAGTGACAGGAAGACACTTGTAGCAGTTTAATGTGGCAGAAAAGGAGGGCCAGGATTGGCTCCCCTGTCTGCTCCCTGCTGCCCGCTTCCATTCTCTGCCTTGAATCAGAAGCTTCTCAGTGGACATTTTACTAAGCTGAGTCAGTTCACTGATCTTCTGCAAAGTATTCCCCACTCCCTTCCACTGCTGCTGTCCTGTAAGGCTTCTGAGTTGAATGTAGTCAGGGAGGTCTTGATAAGCTTCTGAGATAAGGAAGATGAATTGTGAGAATTTGCAGTTGGATGTGATGAATGTGAGGTATGGGGTTGCAGAGCAGGACTTTCATCATAGTCTTTGAGCATTTCAAACTTCACCTGTTGATCAGGACTTGTTGGTCTCTGAGGTGTTGTGAGTAGTTGACACCAGGACTTTTCCACTCTTTGTTGCTGAAGATCTTGCATCTCATTCATAGTAACTGTTTTCCTTAATTGAGATAAGGTGCCATCTAAAATTCTGAAAGGTCCTGTTTTAGACCATCATTTCAAGTGTTTTATGGACAAATATTTGTAATCTCCACTGTCTTAAAACTGATAATATTATTACCGTAAGCGTTAGTGGATTGGTGCAGTTCTTCTCGAGAGCTCCGTGACAGTCGGTCCATTTGACAGCTCATGATTAACACTGTAATATAGGTTATTTTCTCTGAAACTTAAGTTATGATCCAGTGTTCATATTAATTTTTTAATCTCTTTTTTTTTCTGTTTACAGTCAATAGTGAAGTGGTTTAACAAAATCACTATATATTAGCTTCGATTCACTTTTAAGCAGTATACTAGCAGCTAAAAAGGCTCAAAAAGCTTTTTTTCCCGCATCTTTGAAAATAGTATGATTCTTAAATACATGTGAAGGCGAAAAGAAATAAACTGAAGTAACAAGATTATTTGTGCTTTAATGGAGGTATTTAAGAGGTGGATGACTGCTTTCGATAGATGCCGTATTATTATTTGCTCAAAAAAAAGTTGGTCAAATAGTCTTGAGTTTCTTTCCTTCAATCTAGATTGAAGGCCAAGGACACGGTGCTGTTTTTGACTGTAAATTTTCACCAGACGGGCAGCATTTTGCATGTACAGATTCTCATGGGCATCTATTGATATTTGGTTTTGGCTGTAGCAGGTCTTATGAAAAGGTAAGCTCAGTTTTTTATTAGAACTGTTTATTTAAGCTTCTAACTGAAATTAGTTGATTCGGTCCTTTAAAATATCATATGTAAAAAAGAGTTTTGTATGGGTATGGGACCTAAATATAACGGGTTCCTTGATGTCTGTGAGTTCACTTGCGTGTATGGTCCTGGCACAGCAGAAACAACCAGTGTCTTAACATTCCCTTAGGAGTAGCTCCCAAGAACTTTTCTGGAATACATTTTCGTCTTCCAGACAGCTAAATTATGTGTTAATTGTTCAACTTCAATTACTTTTCTTTCTAATTTCTGCAAATCGCTTAATGTTTAAGGGTTGGAATGTGTCACAAAGTTTATTGCACTGCTGCCTAATTAACAAAAAAGCAGGCTGTTTGTATGTTAAGAGTAATTTGCTGGTTTATTTCAATTGTTAGAACTTGCAGTTCTTTAGGTCTTTATTGAAGCCCAAATTCACTGTAGCAGTTTGTTTACGATAAGCAAAAGGAAATATTCGTCCAACACTGTGGATTTTGAAATGTTAGAAAAATGTGCATGGGATAAATGTTTTGCTTTTTTGAATCTGTCAGCCTGTTTCCTTTTTGTTTTGATAAATACGTGTGTTTCTGTTATTTTGCAATAGCTCACAAAAGTGGAGTTCTGGCCTATGCTTTTCTTCACTTCCCCCTCAATTTTTTTAGAGTTTCAATGGTAATTTCATGTTTGTCATTCTAAAGAATTATTTTTTTCTTGCTCTACATTCTCAACTGAAATTGAAACTTTTTCTCTTCGTGTTGCTCATCATTGCTAGGAGCAGAGATTCTGACTGTGATTTAATACTTTGCGTAACCATTTTCCTTCAGCTGGATGGATTTAACAGGCTGTTTCAGTTACAGAAAAAAATTCTGGTGGATATTGCATGATTAATAAAGAACTTCGAGAGCTTATGTTGAACTTCAGACAACAATTTCCTTGCATGGAAACCAAGGAAGCTTTTCTTTAATGTGTGGAAAAAAACAGAATGAGATATAAAATATTTAGTGCAAAGCAGTGCTTGTGCTTTAAGTTAGCTCAGTTTATTGTTTTCTAGAAGCATTTTGTTGCCTGCAAAAGCACTCTCAAAAATTGCATATGAACTGTTCTTATTAGGAGCTTGCCCTTTCTTTTACCTTTAAGGAGACTTTAGATCTTGTATAGTCACTTATTCTTCTCTGTTGCTTAGCACATTTTTTTTTTTCAAGTTGATAACATAAAAACTTCATTTCTTTCTAGATTCCTGATCAGATGTTCTTCCACACTGACTATCGGCCACTTATTCGAGATTCTAACAATTATGTCCTAGATGAGCAGACTCAACAGGCTCCTCATCTCATGCCCCCTCCCTTCTTAGTAGATGTGGATGGAAACCCTCATCCAACAAAATATCAAAGATTGGTGCCAGGAAGGGAGAATTGTGCAGATGAACATTTGATTCCTCAACTTGGATATGTAGCAACAAGTAAGAACAGTATCACTAAAGGCCTACATCCAAAAGTTAGAGTTAATGTAGTAATTCTGAATGGGAATAGAGTAGATGTGACATAGGTGATTTAAAAATACCTTCGTTTTCTCGCATGCTAGCTATTGTGTATTTATGTTCCTTGAAGACACTGAAAAGTCTCACAGTGAATATGATTTTAAACACGGGGGAAAAAAAAAAGAGTTGTTCAAATTAATGTCTTAATTCTTTTATTTTCTGTGAGTGCTGACATGCACAAACTTTGAGTTGTAGACTACGTGAATGTCTCATTCAGAATAAGCAATTGGAATAATTGCAAAAGGAATGGTTTTCATTGTGTTTAGTTGTAGGATATGTCACTGATGTGAACAATGAGATTAAATAATTTACTATAGTCAGTTAGTTAACTGAACTCATTCATTTTATTTGCATTAAACTTGCAAGGTGATGGAGAAGTGGTTGAACAAGTTATAGGCCAACAGACAGTTGATCAGGATGAGCAAGGCTTGGAGCCCAGCATTCTTGATGGCATGATTAGACAACTACAACTACAGCAAGATCAAAGAACTGGAGCTGATCAAGAATCTGCTTCAAGTGGTCCACAAAATGGGGAAGGAACACCTAGAAGAGGTTAGTACTTGCTGATAAATTCTTAGGTAACTTTTCTGTCTCCATTTTTATTACACTGTGTGAAATATTTCCAACAGGTTTTAACTTTAATGTTGTTTTGGGGACTAAGATTCTCTTAACCTAGTGATACCTGGTTAAGATCTTTTTATTCATTAAAACACGGCTACTCCTGTGATTAAATTACAAAGCAAAGCCTTTTGCCTTTTGTTTTGAAGAGCATTAATTGTATGTGTTGTAGAGTGCTACATATTTAATATTTGTAGAGTACTCAAATTAGGAGCTGTATTTATTCTCCTCTGAAGTTTGCAAAATAAGTATTTTACCATTATTCAAACTGGGTTCCCCTCTCCCTTCTTTACAGATTTAAACCAGACACTCTTCTGGTCTGTGTCCTTGTAGTTTTAATTATGTAAACTCGGCTCCAGGGAAAGTGCATTTTAGAACCTCACTAGCCTGAAATAGTTCAGAAAAACACCTCTATCATATTATACTTCCTTTCAATGTATTAAAATAGTAGTAGAAATAACCATTTTAAAAGTATATGTGTAATCTCACTGTATTTTCTACAAGACAGATAATTTCCTGAAGGCAATAACTAGTCGTATACTTACGGTCATGGAGATAAAAATATGTGAAGTGTTAATATTTTATCTTGTAGTAAGAAGAAGCGAAGTTCCAGTTCTGTGTAGTCTGGAAAAAGTGGTTTTGTTTGTATATTTTAGCTTTTAGAAGACCAAGTTTCGATATCCAGTCTCCTCCCAATATTGGTCTGCGGCGTAGTGGACAAGTTGAAGGTGTGCGTCAGATGCATCAGAACGCTCCACGCAGTCAGATGGCTACTGAGCGAGACCTTCAGGCTTGGAGACGAAGAGTCGTTGTACCAGAAGTACCACCAAGCTTACTCAGGTCTGTAGACAGCTTGCTGGGCTGCAGATCTGACCAGAGAGAACACATCATGTTTTTTCTAAACGTAGTGCTGTTAGACCTAAGCTAAAACAGATATATGATACAAATTGAAGTAGTTCGGTGTTACGGTCAGTTGTGTGTAAAAACTTTTAATTGTAAAGTCCATTCAACAAAAATAAATGTAAGTTTCTCTGGTTTCATAGAGAATGATTCTCCCGTATTTCAGTATTTTAAGTCATCTTAAAGGACAGCTGGATTACGTAGATGCTTGCCTTTTCGAAAATAAAGGTCTGGTGTTGGCAGGTAGAATGATTGCAAAGGAGACAATGTGGATTAAAAATGGGGTTGAAAAAGTTTATTGTATTCTGATATTTGCATGGAAGACTTTCTTAATATCCATCGTCCTTACACTACCTGGAAGTGTGCAGACATGTGTTACAGGTGTTTGAGCAATAATAACGTTTGAAATTAATGTAATGGAATTGCATGTTAGGGAGTTTTAGGTAGATCCTTTAAAGAGAACGGATGACTTAACTTTTCAGCATTGTCAAAACAGATGCAGAATCAGATTTTCATTACTTTCTTGTAGGAAGCAGGAAGAATATCGAATTGCAAAAGGGGAAGAAGAGAGAGATTTTTATGCAACAGAGAAGAAAAAGTCATTCGAGTCACTGGAAAAGGTACACAGTGGCTTCTAGGAAAGTGGGCATTCTGTGCCCAGGGACAAGTCATGGTTTAAAAAATGAAAGCAGACATTTCTGAAGGTATGGTCTTCAAAGGTTC